CTGGATAGAGTAGAGGGACAGCGCAGGAGGGGAAGACCCTCTATGAGGTGGATTGATTCAGTGACTGGGGTAATCGGGATGGGTGTGTCAGAGGCAATGGGGTTGGTACAGGATAGAGCAGGGTTTCGGGCTGTTGTCGCTACGAGTTGCAAACGACTGGACGGCACATAACAACAACAACATTGGAAATATCTTTCAAGGGGTCTCTTTTGTTTCTTTAAAGTAAGTGTACAAATATCATTCGCCAAAATCTATGCAGAATAATAGTATAATTGCAGGTATCATAAAATGTATTCAACAGTCAGTTATCACTGCTCTTTACAAATGAAAAAAAAATATAAATTTTAAGCAAAAAGCACAAACTCATTGTTGTCAACACACAGACCCTCCACTAGATTTCTGAGGGTGTACATCTTCACAGGAAGAAAGTGCCTCATCTTTCTCCAGGGAACAAATTATTGCCTGTAACTTTTTTATTACTCCCTGTTGCTATTGCGCACCATAGAGTTGGAACGTACCCATAGCTGACCCTTCAGTGTAAATCACATGAAAAGTTGTTTGCCCATTGTTCTCCAGCAGAACAGCTCGTGGATCCATACCACATACCTTTGTGTTGGCAGCACAATTCTTTACCACTAAGCCACCAGAACTCTCCATGAACTCCCTACATTATTCACTGTTCTGTACGATTTGGTTCTGAATGTACTTGAAATATTTATCCTTATTACATGTAAAAGTCTGTCTCCTATCTTCAACCTGGAAGTTGGTTGGTTTATAGTGTATATTTTGTATGCTTTATGGCTAATTGTAATAAAAATTTTTGCTTTAAGAAATGCATTATTTTATCAGATGTTGTCAGTATCCTTGTTTTCCAAAATAAAAAATTTGACAGGTTCATCTTGTGCATTTCCTTGATGTGGAGTTTATAATTTCTCCCTAGGGCCCTGGTTCCTTTTGAAGAGAAATGATATTTAAAAATCACAGCCTAGTCACTAGATATTTGGCAAAGAGGTAATGACAGGGCCTTTGGGGAACATGGGACATCAAACTGAATCAGGGAAAATTCTAGCGTCACAAATACCTACCACCCACACCGATCCACCAGTTCAATTTGGAGACTTGTGGCTCTAACTTGCAACAGCAAAGTATCCACACTAAAAGTCGGCCCAGCCCTTGGGCAGTCTTGGCCAATAATTTGGGGAAAGATACTGCACTGTCAAGCCAAAGGCAGGTGGTTCAAATCCACCAGCTTCTCTGCAGGCGAAAGATTAACAGTCCCTCTTCTCATGTGATTTACTGTCTCTGAAAATCTGCTGGAGGGTCAGTTATGAAGTGGTCCCAACTCCACTGGACAGCATAGAATAATAACAACTGACAACTGGTAGAACCATATCTACCAGTCATGTCTCTCTTCTCCCACAGGGCCAAAGTATGTCAGATGAAGCTTCAAAATCCTTGCCCCTAAGGAGGAGCCTGGTCTCACCCTCTCAAGGACAAACCTGTTCATTCTCCTAGCAGTCCATGGTATATTCAACACTCTTCTAGAGTACCACAGCTCAAAGGCATCAATTTTCTATCATCCGTAGTCATTGTCCAGCTTTCTGATGCATAGCAAGCAATTGCAAAGACTATGGCCTGGATCAGGCACACTTTAGTCTCCAGACTGACTTCATTGCTCTTCAGTACTGGAATATAGAGAGCCCAAAACAAAGGGAAGAAATACTGCAGTAAGAGAGATTAACGAGATCTCCAAGGGCAGCTCAAGAAGACAAAGCAAATAATTATAACAAAGTATACAGAACACTAGAGCTAGGAAACCAAAAGGGAAGAATACACTCAGCATTTCTCAAGTGGAAAGAACTGACGAATTAAAGCCTCAAATTGCAATCCTGAAGGTTTCTATGGGCAAAGTCTTGAATGTTGCAGGAAGCATAAAAGATAAAAGGAATACAGAGTCACTGATCCAAAAATAATGAGTTGACACGGAATCATTTCAAGAAGTAGTGCATGATTAAGAACCAGGGGTAATGAAGGAAGTAGTTCAAGTTGCAGTGAAGGCACTGACAAAAAGTAAGGCCCTAGGAACTGATGGAATACAAATTAAGGTCTTTCAAAACTAACTGATGCAGCCTTGAACATGCTCATTAGCATTGTTTCCAAGAAATTTGGAAGACAGTTACCTGGCCACTGAACTGGAACAGATCATATTTATTCTCATTCAAAAAATAAGTGATCCAACAGAGTGTAGAAATTGTTAAAGAACATAATCAATTTCCTTAACAATGCCATGCTTAAAATATCTTTATCTTTTCAAGAGATTGGCAATGACATTCCAGTTAAATCTATATTTAGTAATAAGAACTTATAAGTAATAAGAATTTATATTTAGTAATAAGAATTTTTCTTTTCTGTTGGGCTTTTTTTTTATGGAGAGGTTTTGAGTTGGGAGTAGATTTTGTGTTTCATTGACTATGCACTGAGTATATCACAACAAATTGTGGCTAACTTTACAAAGAATGGGGATCCCAGACACTTGACTGTGCTTCTGCAAAACTTATGCTCAGACCTGGAAGCAGTCTTCAGAAAGAGCAAGGAAACACTGCACAATAAAAATTAAGGAAGGAGTGTGTGTGTCAGGGGTGAGTCCTTTCTCCATATCTTTTCAATCTATATGCAGAACAGATCATTCATGATGCTAGACTTTATGAGGAGGAATGTGGCATCAGGATTGGAGGAAGAATTATCAACATCTTTCATTATGTAGATGACACAGCTTTGCTTGCCAAAACCGAGGACAACCTCAAGCACTTGCTGCAAAAGTTCAAGAACTGCAACTTTAAATATGGATTGAAACTCAACATCAAGAAAACAAATATTCTCACCATTGGGCCAACTGACAGCATCACAATAGATGAAGAAGAGATTGTGATTGTTAACAATTTCAGCTTGCTCGATCCCACAATCAATAAATAATCTTGGCACCAGCAGTCAGAAAATAAAAAATAAATAAATTTCATTAGGTAAATCTACTGTCAGGAACCTCTCCAGAATGCTGGAGAGCAATGATGTCAGTCTGGAGACTAAGGTGCACCTGATTGAGGACATGGTCTTTGCAATTACTTGCTACACATCAGATAGCTGGACAGTGACTAAAGATGACAGAAGAATCTATGCCTTTAAGTTCCAGTGCTGGAGAAGGGTATTGAACATACCATTGACCACCAAGAGTACAAATAGATTTATCCTGGGGAGGATGAAACCAAGTTGCTCCTTGGAGGTAAGGATATTAAAGCTTTGTCTCAAGTACTTTGGGCATGTGGCCACAAGTGATCAGTCCTTGAAGAAGAACCTCAT